TATTTTATGTAAGATGATCAGGAAATCCCCCATGACAAGGTGACATTTGAGTGGGACTTAACAGACTAGAAGGTGAGTCATGCATGTCTCTGGAGGAAGATTATTCCAGGGAGAGGGAACACCCAGTGCAAAGGCCCTGGGGCAGGAGCTTCTTGGCATGTTTGACAGTCAGGAAGCCACTGTGACCACAACAGATAGGATGAGGATGACGACATATGAGTCTAAGCAGGGACCAGATTGTACTAGACAATGCTACTGAAAGGGTGATCTGCAAGGAGCCGAGGAGCTTGGGCCAAAAGTAGACCAACCACATCACTAAGTGCCCTGTTTATTTATTTCAGCTGACATTTTTCTCATTGCAAGACTTGACCAAAGCACTGGGTGGATTGACCTTCCAGTGGAAACTCCCTGTCTCATTGTGGACCAGCACTGTGAATAGCACTGATCTGGGCCTGTGGGCTGCGGTGAGGACACTGGATTTTGATGTGATTGAAATGTGAGTGACAGGAGGGCCTTGAGCAGAAAAAGGATAACCCAACTTAGATTTTAAAGGAATTCATCTCTGAGGATACAGAGATCCTACTGTGAGGAGATAGATACAAGGGAAGCGGGGAGAAGGAGGCAGCAGGAAGACCCATTAAGAGACCATTACAATAACTCCATGTAGGAGTGGTGGTGGTTTGGACCTGAAAGTTTGGATTCTATTGATATTTTAAAGGCAGATTGCCAGTGGATTAGAGATTAGTGGGAGAGCAACAGAGGCATCAAGGATTCCACCAAGATTTCTGACCTGAGCCCCTGGAGGATGGAATTGAACTTGACTGAGAAGAGGAAGACTCTGGGAGGATCAGGTTGGGAGGTAGGGGAACAAAGGTCTTGATTGTGGACATGTTACATTGGAGGTTCCACTTGATGTCCAGGATAGGCACCCCAGATTGACTTAACTCATTCTCATCCAACCCCCTTGAAAAACACACAAAAGCCTGAAGAACTGAAGACAGCAATACCCAGAATATCTGACAAAAGATTCACACATGTGAGATGTGCAAGAGGGAAGTGGTTCTTGTGAGAGGAACGTTGTGCCTCTCCTGGCATCCAGGACCTGACCCATGGAGACGCTGGGTCCCAAGCTTGTGCACAGGTGCTATGGCCCAAGACCAATGTGGCAGCAGTGACTTGATTTCCCAGTTTTTTCATCCAGGAAATAGCAACAGCTCCCTTAGCAAGCTGAACCTCCATGTCTCAAGTGGATCCGAACTCAAGACTGGAAAACTCTTGTCCTTAATTTGGTTCTCACCCTCAACACTGCCCTGCATTCACTACCTTTCCCCAGGTTCCATCCCAGATCCCTTTTCTAGTCTGACTACCCTGTGGTCAAACTCCCTTCTTAACTTGATTCTCCAAATGCCCTCAGCACCAGTCTTCTGCGTTCATGGTGTCCACTGTCTTCAATTCTTTATCACTCTCCAAAATCCTGGCCCTCAACTGAATGCTCATCTACCTCTCCCCTTTTTCTCCTGTCCCATGTCCCCTGTCACCCTGTACCTCTTGTACCTCATCCCCAGTGTCCAGGCACTGATCTGAGTCTTCAAGAATCTTATCCTTCCCCCAAATTCTACATCTCAGCATCATGGGAAGGATGGTACCTCCAACTTCACTGCACCAGGTGCGGGTGCTCCCCCCTCAACAAGTAGGTCAACCTTTCACTCAGAATCTTCAGCCCTATCCTGGAACCTCCCAAAAGAGCCCTCTTGCAACACCCTATTCATACCAAATCACACTTAACGCCCCTAAGCCCCATTCCAGATTCATTGTTTCTCATCTGGACTCTGCACAGATCCCAGCCCTCAACACCCACCTCTGCTTACCCACACTCCACCTCACCATCAGGACTCCGAGGGTTCACCCAAATACCCCAGAGGCCAAAAGGAGCAGGAAAGGACACAGAACCAGTGGACAGATTCTATTTACCATTTCCCAGGTTCTGTCTCTGGACTCTCCTTAGAAAAGGCAAGCAGCGTTTGCAAAAACAATAAAGAAAGCAAAGAAATGAGGACAGAGATGTCTAGCCTGAGCCCAAGACTGAGGAGGGTTCCAAAAAGGGTGGTCAATTGCAGAAGGGAGGGTGGCTGACATGGCAGGGCCCTGTGAGTCCATTGGAGTTGCTGGATTTTATGACAGAATATCTTTTAAAAATCTATGTGATCTTGTTCCTTAAAGATGAGGTGAAAATGTAGGTGGAATGACAACAGTGTTAGAGCAAGGGTCACTAGTAGACAGATAAGAGGATATGGAAGCCAGTGCACAAGAGGATCCAGAAAACACCTGGTCCACGGGACTCTGAGAACATTTCTTGGGTGGAAGATGGGGCATTCCAGCACATGGTTGGAGCACAAGCCCTTTCAGGGAAGCACCACAGCTAAACAAAGAACAAATATGCAGATGCCAGGGGACGCCCAATAGCTGCAGTTCACGTAAGAAAGATGAGGTCACAAGTGAAAGATCTCAAGAGAGGAGTTTGCCTGAATCATGCCACTGATAAGGACATTGGCTCATCTCTGTGGGCGCAAAACAGGCCGGGCTTAAGAGTTGATACTAGAAGGAACACAACAGTGGAGAATCTTAGGAATCTCCAAAATGAGAAGATTTTGTTTTCACAAATCATCACGGACGGGAGAAAGTCCTTGCAAAGCACAGGAAAGATGCAGAAAAGATAGAATCTGGGCCTGGGATCTTGGGGGTACACACACTTTTCTCTGGGCCTCCTAAGGCAGAAGGGTGATTCTGGGCATCTAAGCCTAGGCAGATTTCCTCCAGAGTCCCTGTTTGCTGGCATCCAGGTCTCAGATAAAATTCCCGATCCTCAGTGTCTGGAAAAACCAGGGGACTTTCCATACTACTCACAGTAACCGATGTCCAGCCAGCAGTGGAAAGGCCTTTTCTTTAAAGAGCCCAACTGTGTTATGTCGGATTCAAAATTGGAAAAACAAGAGTACTATTGTATCCCTGTGTAGGAAAAAGACACAGTATTTGCAGTTCATTCTCAGTATGGGGGGACATGGAATTGAGTAAGTGTGTTACCCACACCAACTGCTTCAAACTTATAATACATGAATAGATAAAAGCAAATCCCTCTTGGTTTAAAAAGCTTCTGCACTGACAAGGTAGCATCCTCAAAGTCTTTGCACGGGGAAGACTGCTTGATCTGGCCATCCAGTTGTGTAGGTGTTACAGCTACCACAGCGTGGAAATGGAGCCACAAAAACTGCAGCTCAATTCAAGGGCCCCAGAGGAATCACACAAAACTCACACATGCAATCCAAAACACAAAAGCCAAAGGAAAAGAGAGATCCATCGCTGGTCTTAGCACATTCAGGGCAGAGCGGCCTCTGGGGCTCCGGCCCCGCAGGGAGTCAGGGCATCGCCCCATTTGGCGGATAGGCAGCAAGATTTGCCAAGCACCTTCTGCGAGCAGCGCCATTTTGAAATCCTTTGTCATTTACAGACTGTTTGGTTTGACTCTGTTTCTGCAAGTCTCTTTCGTCTTCAGAGAGGGTCACAGAAAGGACTTTGAAATTGACTCTAGAAGACAGGCTTCTGACCAACTTTCAGATCATAAAGTTGAGCTGGTTGAGAAAGTGCAGAACTCTAATGCAGAGACTGAAGACTTCAGGAAACCGCAAAAGAAGCTCAAGCTCCGGCAAGATGTGATCACGTGGGACTGAAGGCACTCTGCTCTCTCAAATCTGGAGAAGTCGGGCTCCTAGCCATAAATCGAATATACGAGCGGCTTAAATTTCCTACTTGGCCTTACCCACAAGATGCTCTGCTGTGTGAGTCAGCCAGAAACCGAGCAGGGAGGGGGCAGGTGTGGGGGAACCTGCCGGCCAGAGCACAGAGGCCAGAAGCCTGACAGCTTCTGTTGATGTTGCAGCTGAGGGGAGGGGTGCTGAGCACAAGCCCACCCACCGAGCCCACGCCCACCTGGGACCTCAACAAAAGCCCCACTCTCAGAGCCTCCAGCGTCCTCGCCGGGACTGAAGCAAACCGCCACACTCACTGTGCTCTCCGACAACGCCATGATTGCCTTCCTAAAACACAGAGCCACCGAATTCATGGTGGACCTTGTGGCTACCTTCCTCGTGCAGAAGGGGAAAACGTATCTCACAGAGGCATTGATCGACATGTGGTCGATATGGTTGTTCGAACAGATGGCTACGTTTCTGCTGAAGATGATTCTGATGTTGGCTCTGGGCCGCATGGCTCTGGTGGTGCACCACCTGACTCTCGCTCGAACTTTGCACCGCCAATGTGCCCTGGGTTCTGCCAACGAAGAAGGCAGCCCCGAAAGCATCACTTGTCATGGTGGTCCCCTGAATCGGGAGCAAGCCAGCAGGCAAGATGTCTCCCTCTCTGGGAGAGAATGATCGCTTTCCTGGCCTCGATTCAGCCAGTGGCTGGAAGGGTCTGTCCCCAGTTCTTCCATTACAGCGGCACCACTTGTTTCCAAAGGATAATCAATGAAGGCAGAAAAGCAAATCGATCGCGGCTTAAGAAGGCTTCTCCACTGAGATCAC